TGTGTTGCACATTCTTCGTTATGTGAAGGGCACCTTATTGCATGATTTACATTTCTCGGCCAGTTCTTCCTTGTCCCTTAGCGGCTACTCCGATGCAGATTGGGCTGGAGATCCTACTGATCGTCGCTCCACTACCGGGTATTGCTTCTTCTTAGGTGATTCACTTGTCTCTTGGCGCAGTAAGAAGCAAACCTTGGTTTCCCGTTCGAGTGCCGAGTCTGAGTATCGTGCTCTTGCTGATTCCACCGCAGAGCTATTATGGTTGCGTCGATTACTTGCTGATCTTGGTGTCCCTCAGTCATCCTCTACTGCTCTTCATTGTGATAGCCAGAGCGCTGTCAAGATGTCTCATAATGATACGTTTCATGAGCGTACCAAACATATTGAGATTGATTGTCAATTTATTCGCCAGCATGTTACCCATGGGACTGTACGACTTGTTTCTGTCTCCTCTTCGGATCAGATAGCGGATGTTTTCACGAAGTCTCTCCTTCCCGGTCGCTTTTGTTTACTTCTTAGCAAACTCAAGTTGATATCTACTATACCACCTTGAGTTTGAGGGGGGGTGTTAGAATATATTTTGTATATATGGTTATAATATATTTTGTATATATATTGTAGGATTAGATTTAGGCTCATTATGTTCCTATATATATGTGTACATGTCTTTTGAATAATATAGAATATATTTTTCCCAAATTCTAACAGATGGAATCAAAAAATGATAAAGTCGAGGCTCCAAGTTTTATTTGGACGAGTGAGTACTTAAAAATCTTTTGTGACCTGTGTTTTGAATTTATTACGAAACATGGTCGTGGCCAATCATTTAAATGGTGTGAGATCCAAGCACAATTTGACTTACGGACAAACAAAAAATAAAACTACAAAAAGCTTTGAAAACAAGTTTGATCAGCTCATTTTAGACCTCACAAAACTTCTACAAATTGAACTCATAAAAAAAAAAATAAGAAAAAAATCTGGGAAGACAACCACAAGTAAATTAAAACATCATTAAATAAAGTCACCTAAACAACCAGCTTTTACCCGACACTAATCTGGCCAACTTCTAACAATTAACCTGAAATCTAACTCAATTTAAATTTTTTGTACAAGATACTACATTTAACCAAAGAACCAGGAAAAAAAAAAAA